CTAGGCCAGCAAGCTATAATCAGTTTATGAAAGTGGGACACAGAAAGGGTTTTCACTGCAATATGATGGCATCGATTCCTGAAATGTTACTATATCCCTTATAGCTGCTCAATGGCTCCATACAGGAAGAATTCATGCTAAAGTTAATATAAACCAGGATGAGGAAAACACACAACTGCCTCCCCTCCCCAAGAAGTTAAAAGCCAAGAATAACAAAGGAAGCAGACTACAATCCCCTTCTCAGCCTTCTCTGTGGCTGCTTCCCAGTCAGGATGGCCAACCTGCAACCAGGGAGTCTCATCTGGAAGAACTAGAAACTCTAGTCATTTTTCCCACAAGTCCCTGGAGGCCTGGTAGCTACAGATCATATTCCTTCAAAATTGTCCCGGGCTAAACTGGCTTTTTCTTGACAATTAAACCATTCTACATTATACTGTACCCACCAGCCACTCCTCAAAATGAAGGTTGGGTAATCTACTTCCGTAGTGATACCTCCTCAGAAACCCAAGGAAGGGTCGCTACTATATCTATAAAAAGTTAAAAAAAAAAACCTTGCTTTAAAGAGGTATTGAATAGTCTGTAACACTTGCCTGATATCCAAACGTGAGGGACATAACAGCAATGAGAAAGCCAAAAAGTGCTTCCAGCTTCCGCAATCCTATAGGAGGAAAGGCAACAGTGGGCTCACAGAAGATGATTTCCAGCAGGAAGCCACACAAATTGGAGGTGGCACTTTGGACTCACCCCTCTATCCCCATTCTCCTTACCATATTTGTCCAGAAAGAGAAATACAAAAGTATCTGCAATGGTGATGAGAACGCCACCCCACAGAGGAACCCTAGGTCAGAGATAAGAAACAGACATTAAGGGAAAGAAAGGAAACACTGGGAAACCCTCTGTTCCCAAGAGCCTCCCACACACACAACACTTGGAGAAGGTGCGACCTGAGTGGAGGGACAGAGGTAGGAAGCCAGGTCTTGGGTCACTTTAGAACCACAGCACCAACTTAACTACATTCAATCAAACTTTAATGGAGAATTTACTATCTGTCAGGCATTTCAGGTACAAATATGGTTAATATGGGTCTTATCCTCAAGGACCTCACTATCTAGTGGGATAAACTGACATACAAACAAATAATTATAATACAAAATGCCACCTACTCTAAAATAGAGGTAGATAGAAACCACCACGGGGACACACAAAATGTACAGCCTATGTCTGCTGGGAGAAAGGGTTCCAAAAAGGTGCCACAGAAATAATACTTAAGGTGAAATCTTAAAAACTGTAAATTTGCTTTTGTTTTTGAAATCTAGCAAAGCATCCAATTACTTTCTAGAGGAAAACCCTCTCACCTTCCCACAGACAGGAGATTGATGGCAATGGCTGAGCCAATGACTTCTTGCATATCTGAGCTGATGATAGCCAACTCCACCATCAGCCATAGTATAATCCGTGGGACCTAAGCACCAGACAGTAGGGAGATGTGGTTAGGGTTAATCATTTCTAAGTACTTCCTCAGTAGCTCTAAATTCACATATATTTTCACATAGATTCACAAACAGTGCTCACATAACTCCCGGCTAAAGACAGAATACCCAGTCTTGACTCCACTTAGCCCATCCCAACAACGTGCTTCCTAGCTTGAGAAGGAAAGGGGGCCTCCAGGGGTGGAGCCTGGGAGCAAGGTCAGGGCGGCAGCTGATCCGAACTCTTCCCTGCCCTTTTCATTTGATGTCCCTGGGTAAAGTCACTAGGAGCCCTGCTGGCACAGTGGTTAAGTGGTTAAAAGCTCAGCGGTTTGAACTCACCAGCAGCTCCGTGGGAAAAAGATATGGCAGTCTGCTTTCATAAAGATTACAGCCTGGAAACACTATGGGACAATTCCACTCTGTCCTTTAGGGTCACGATAAGTTGGAATCAACTTAATGGCAACAGGTTTGGTTTTTGGTTTGGGTAAAAG